GCCTCTGCCCCCGCCCCACCCCGTCCTGCACTGCAACATTACTCACCACCTGCTAATCAAATGCTTTGAGCATGTTTACATGCAGTCGGAACAGCAATAGGGATTTATAATTTTTCAAGTTTAGTTTTGTCACTTGATTTGTTTGTCACAAACTGATAACGCAGGTTGATAACTGATGCAATATTTATGAGTTACTAAATATTGGTCTAATTTTCACAGCCAAAATTTTGCTGTTTTGTTTTTTTGCATGTTTGATACTTGTAGCTATATTTTAACAATGCAAATGTTTTGTTGAAGATGTTGATTCAGCAGCGGTGGTGCAGGATGTGGGCGGTGTCCGAGCCAGCTCCTTCGGTGGTATACTTTTGTCGAAATTTACTAAAGTTGAAAGAAAGGAACTTTGTGCAATTAATATAAAGTACTATATACTCTACAAGATTGTTGAGAAATGATATGCAGGTCCGTAGCCCCAGAGTAATTTTGTATTTTTAAATAATAAGACTTTATTTTAATAATTTTTGTAACTTGAAATTAATAATTTACTGGTTATACAATTTAATTTGTCGATTTGCAATAACAACTGTAGAGGTTATAATTACTTTTACCTGATTTTTATCTAAGGTTTAGAAATGGACAAACCCAATGATTGATTGTGTAATATTATAAATTTGTACTTTTAACAACTAAATTATGTTGAATATTACACCTGTATGGTTTTATTTATATTATAAAAGGAAGTAAATTTTGAATTTTTTAAAGAACTCTTTAAATCCAGTGAAATGTAAACATCTTGAAGCACTTTTATTGTAATTTATTCTCGATTTGCGATATCAAAATTTACAAATGCTGTAACTACGAACATCTCTTACCTGTGCAAATTGAAATAAAATGATTTTACTTGTGTGAAAATTGTGTCTTAATGACCTCCGCCCGCCCGCTGCGAACAATGTTTTGTGACCTTGGCAATAATATAAAAAGCAAACCAGTCTGAGTGAGCAAGCCTTAAGAATATAACAATATTTAGACGCATGTCTGGACGGATTCGTCATCGCTTAGTGCACTTATTTGCATATGTCTAGTCTGGACTTTATAATAATCTATATCTATACCAATAAAGAGGAAAGATTTGTATTTTTGGATTTGGGTATTGAAATAACTTAAGACACTAGGTTGCATCATTAAAAAGCTATGTAACCACTCAGTAACATAGGCTATATATACCACGACGACAAAGTCGGGAGCAACAGCTAGTATCTGATATACTTTATATCTTTATTCTACGAGGTTCTTAGGTATACCTAAATATATTGGTAAATTCTAAAAGACCTTGGAACGTGATACAAGTATAGTATGCCTAGTTTAAAAAATGGACTTGAGCGTTTCTATTTTTATAATCTCATCTGTGAAAAAAAAACATGTTGATAACTTGATCAAAATGTTTTCATAACACTTGCACTTAGTTGCAAAGATAATGTCTATTTTTGTAGAACAAACACGAAGATTAAGATCTGTGGGCAATTTGATTTTGCTTCTACCATCGGATGTTCACAGGTCTTTTTGAATTCTGTTTAGGAATCTTAACGATGTTTGTTGGATGGAATACAATGGATCGTAAGCAGTTGCCGGCATCTTCGTTCAGTGGTAGGTACTTTCAAAAGTAAATTGAAATCACTTTAGTAACAAAAACTACAATCGTGACTGAAGTTTTTGTTCAAGTACAGTAACTATTGTTAACTGCCGAACATTAGAGCACTAACCCCCAAAGTATGAGTCATCGTATTGGAGCGTACCAATTGAAACGAGCTGCCTTCATTGAAGTAACCTAAAAATGCAACAAATTGACTTTGAAAAAAGTATATTCCAAAGAAGCAATTCTTTATTTGTACTCTGGTCTGATGGAAACAGCTATATTTCTGCCGGACTACATATTTATGTAGTCAATTTGTACCGTCCTGTCACATTTAAAAGGTTATTTTTGTTACATCATATTTAAAAATGATAGATTATTGACTTGACCTTTGTAAACATCACCTGCATTTCAACAGTTTCGCTTATCTTCAACCTAGAGCTGATTATTTCGAACGATTTTTATCACACTATATAAAATGACTTGTGACACAGGATTCATTGGGGCTATTATTCTGAATTTACATTAAATGAGATAAAAATAACACTGCATACTTATTTTTATCATTTTCTATAAGACAATATAAATGTAAACCTATAAACACGTAATTTGATTTGCAATAAGTTTGAAAGGTAACATGGGGGAAAAAACTAAAAACATTTGCAACTTAGTATATTTATTTAAAATAGAATGCTTACATTAATTATCTAAAATATTAAATATACGTTTCACTTACTTCAACTGTTCTTGGCCATCATTTAAATGTAACATTACTTTAACAATAGCATTAAATAATAAAATATTTACTACCAATCTTCTAAATTTATTTATTTATCATATCTATAATATTACACAAAATATGAAGATATACCCATCTTTATATATGTAAATATTTCAATCTTGTGTATATAGGATGGAGTTCTAAAAACTTAAATCAATTTACTGATGCATTTTTGGCTCTTCGTAATTTTTAAATCACATCAAGATTCTTTTTTTCAAGTACGTCAAATACTTTGTATGGTAAACAGTTTTTTACTAGACCTCTTCCAGCCGACCTAAGGCAAGGTATCAAAATGGGTTTTGAATAGAGCATAAAAACACTTTGTGACAAGCCAATTTAGGGACAGGAGGATGACTAAAACCCTGTGCCTTTGATGGTCTCCACAGAAATTTCAGTTATTTGCACTCGAAATAGACTTCTCATAGGTTGAATATGGGAGGGAGGGGAGGATAAACTATTAGGCGCGATTACACTACATTTAAAAATATACTAAGCTATAATTTCAACTACTAAGGTGGCATCATTTGCATCAAATCACTTCAGCACCGAAATTATGGCCGTCTTCATTTGGTAGATTTCAGTATAGACAAATAGTAATTTATTTAATTTTAATAAATTACATTATGTATTAAATGTAGATCTTTTAACAATTTCGATAACAGTAAAATGTTGAACAGACGAAACTTTGTTTTAAAACCAGTTAACAAAAAAAAATACCAATAAATAATATCAAAATATAACATTACAAAGTTATTAAACACAATATAAATTAGTTATTTATTGTCGAATAGAAATTGTATCAACGGTTGGTAAACGCAAGGAATATGTATTACTGATGTTGACTGAAATAGTTGATGACAAAATAAACAAATAATAATTCAATTCCTGTTCTGTTACTCTCCATCTCTTTCTAATTATCACCTATTCTTTTTCTAGTATTTTTTCCTTTAAAAAGCCAACAAAGATATAAACATCGATCTATTTTGTTAGTATTGAAACTTATATTGAAGGGAGGAGTTATAATTGTGCGTACGAGATGTGTGATTCATGAGAATTTGGTTGAAGATAAATGTATTAGCTGTAATTATGGTAATTATTGTCTTTAGTTTCCAAGTCATTTCATATAGGATCTAAACCAGAGATCAACTATGTACAGCACCTGCCTCTGCTTACCCCTTTCACTATTTATTATCACAAGTC